GGGCAGCCGCTGCCTGATGGCACGTTTACACCCTTCCATCTGGTAAGCTTCTCCATGTTCTTCCAGCCTCCCCTTCGCTGTCAACATTACCCTCAAGGTGTGCACCGCAGGGACAGCACTGTCAATGTACAACTTTGTTTGTTTGGTTTTATTTTCGGTTGGCACTCGCGAAACATTTTTTTGGTGTCAGCTTTATTGGGACTTTTAACTGATAAACTCTTGCTGTGAGATAGTCTTCGCATTAGTGACCTGAAATCCAAAGTCTTCATCTGTAGGTTTGGTTTCAGTATCACTAAACCAGAGTATATGCCACATACTCTTGAAAATAAACTTTGATTTTGAAATCATTTTAGATTTATAGAAAGATTGCAAAGGGAGTATAAAGTCCCCACATGCCTTACCCCTATCTTCTACTGAAGTTGCATAACCGTGGCATATTTGTCAAAGGGAGAAATTGACAATGGTATAATTCGGTTGACTCAGGTCCATACTGGATTTCTCCAGTTTTCCCACTGATGACCATTTTTTCTGTTCTGGGGTTCCAGTTCAGGGTACTCCGTTGCATTCCGACTTCTTGTCTCTTGTCTGTGGCAGTTTTTGTCTTGTCTCTCATGGCCGTGAAAGCTTTAAGGAATACTGGTGTTCTCCAGAAGGCCCCTCAGCTTGAATTTGTCTGACAGCCAGGCTGTGGTTACCCATCAGGTCAATACTAAGCATTTTTTTAAAGTTTATTTATTTGTCGGGGCTGGTGCTGTGGCATAGTGGGTAAAGCCACTGCTTACAGTGCTGGCATCCCATGTGGGCACCTGTTTGATTCCAGGCTGTTCCACTTCTAATCCAACTCCTTGCTAACGTGCTTTGGAAAGTAGTGGAAGATGGCCCAAGTTGTGCCCCTGCACCAACATCGGAGACCCTGAAGAAGCTCTTGGCTCCTGTCTTCATCCTGGCACAGCCCTGGCCATTATAGCCATATGGATTGTGAACCAGCAGATGGATGATATTCTGTCTCTCTCTCTCCCTCCCTTTCTCCCTCCCTCTCTATAGCTCTGCCTTTCAAAAGAAAAAAAAAAAAGTCGTTATCTATTTGGAAGGCAGAACAACCCAGAGAAATGGAGAGAGGGAGTTTGAAAGAGATCAAGAGATCTCCCATCCAATGGTTCACTTCCCAAATGCCCGCAGCAGCCAGTACTGACCAGGCTGACCTGGGAGCTGGGCATTCCATTTAGCTCCCCGATGTGAGTAGAATGTGGGTATCCCAGGTGGCAGCTTAACTCACTGGACTGCAACACCTGCCCAATGCTGACCTTTAAAAATGTTTTTTGAGGGCCGGCGCCGTGGCTCAATAGGCTAATCCTCCACCTTGCGGCGCCGGCACACCGGGTTCTAGTCCCGGTCAGGGCGCCGGATTCTGTCCCGGTTGCCCCTCTTCCAGGCCAGCTCTCTGCTATGGCCAGGGAGTGCAGTGGAGGATGGCCCAGGTGCTTGGGCCCTGCACCCCATGGGAGACCAGGAAAAGCACCTGGCTCCTGGCTCCTGCCATCGGATCAGCGCGGTGCGCCGGCTGCAGCGGCGGCCATTGGAGGGTGAACCAACGGCAAAAAGGAAGACCTTTCTCTCTCTGTCTCTCTCTCTCACTGTCCACTCTGCCTGTAAAAAAAAAAAAAAAAAAATGTTTTTTGAGACACAGAGAGCGCTCCCATCTATGGGTTTACTCCCCAAATCCCACAGCAGCTGGGGCACTGGGCTTGGGCTGAAGGTAGGAATACAATCCAGGTCTTTCATTTGGGTGACAGGAACCCAATCACTTGAACTACCTCCTCTGCCTGAGCAGGGATCTGGAGTCAGGATTTGAACCCAATTACTCCAATGTGGGATGTGGGTGGCTGGTGCTTCAACTACGAGGCCAAATCCCTCGCTAGGCATTTTTAATGTTGATTTGTCAACATCATTCCAATTCTTAGCAACTATGTTAATGGCATCCTGAAGACTGAAATTTCTCAGGAAGTCTCATTCCAAGGCTCTTGTACCTAGAACAGTTTTGGTGCTTTTGCTCTTTCATAATGGAAGGTAAAATTCCATGTTGGGGCCTACATTGTGGCACAGCAGGTTAAGCTGCCACCTACAATGCTGGCATCCCACATGGGTGCCTATTCGAGTTCCGGCTATTTCATTTCCAATCCAGCTCCCTGGAATGCACCTGGGAAAGTGGTGGAAGGTGGCCCAAGTGCTTGGGGCCCTGTACCCATGTGAGAGACTCAGAAGAAACTTCTGATTCCTGGCTTTGGTCTGGCCCAGCCCTGGCTGTTGTAGCCATTTGGGGTGTGAACCAGTGGATGGAAGATCGATCCTTTCTCTCCCTCTCTCCACTCTTTATCTCTCCCTCTGTCTCTCTCTGCAGCTTTGCCTTTCAAATGAAAATAAAATAAATCTTTGAAAAAAAATTCCATGTTGGCATCTCAAGAAATTCAGGATGGGCTATGGAATGCACTCTTAGGAACAGTGAAACATAGCACCCCTTCCCAGCTGGCTTCCCAGTGAGCTAACAGCCAGCCAGGGGGCTGTACCCAACTCCCTGTGTTGTATCTGTGTAGTGAAAAAAGGTCAGTCCTATGTACTGGAAAAACATCTTAGATGTTGCTCTATGCAGTCTCTGCCAATTTTTAAAAAAGTTTTATTTGAAAGGCAGAATTTGAAAGGGGAAAGGAAAAAGAGAGAGGAATGGGGGTGGGGGGAAGCAGGGGAGGGATCCGTCTTCCAACTGTTGGTTTTCTCTCCAAATGGTCGTAACAGCCGGGGTTGGGCCAGGCTAAAGCCAAGAGCCACGAACTCCATCTGGGTCCTCACATGAGTGATAGAGCTCAATGACTTAGGCCATCTACTGCTGTTTTCCTAGGAGTATTAACAGGAAACTAGATTGGAAGTGGAGCAGTCAGGACTCAAACAGGGACATTTATTTGAAAGGCACACAGAGAGAGATCATTCATGTACTGGTTCACTCCTCAAATGTCCACAAAAGCCAGGGCTGGGCTCTGCTGCACTGCAGCCTGGAGCCCAGAACTCAGTCTGGGTATTCCATATGAGTGGCAGGGACCCAAGTACTTGAATCATCACCTGCATTCGCTGGAAGTGAATTGGAAGTGAAGTAGCCAGGACTTGAACCAGGCACAGCAATATGGATGCACGCATCCCAAGTGGCACCTTAACTGCTGTGCCCGATGCCCACCCCACAGTCACTGCCCACTGCATTAGAAGTGGCCAGCACCAGTGGCATGTGCTGTGGCACAGGGACACTTGCTGTCAGCCTGCAGTGCTCACGCATCAGCACTGCTAACGTGTCCCTGAGCCGCAGCACCAGGAGGGAGCTGTGGCATCAGTATTGTCATTGCTCCAGGTGGGCATTTTATGGGACTTTAGCAAGTGCACCAGTGTAATTTTCTGATGCTTCTTCCTTAGATTTTCCAGTTGGCTTTCGGATTATTTTATGCAGTGCTGCTTCAGTTTCTCTGGCTGGCCTGATGCTGTTCATGCACCTCAAGGTTCAGTCCTTCATGGTATAATCTAGATGTATTCTTTATTTTTTTAAGATTTACTTGAAGGGCAGGTAGAGTAAGGAGGATGGACACACACATACACAGAGTGAGAGGGAAAGAGACCCTCTGGTTAACCCTTTAAAATGGCCACAACAGCCAGGGCTGGGCCAGGCCAAAACCAGAGCCAAAAATTCCATGTGGGTCTCCCATGTGGGTAACATGGACCCAAGCACTTGGGCCATCATATGCTGCCTTTACAGGGACATTAGCAGGCAGCTGGATTGGAAGTGGAGGAGCTGGCAGTTGGGCCAGCGCTGTGGTAAAGGATGTGGGGTTACACTGTCGGGTTGTGCCCTGAGCCACACCATCAGCCCCTCCATTGCTATGCCTTCAGTTCTTGTTGAATCTACTCACACAGTAAAATAGTCAGTGTTTGTCCTGTCTGGTGTTTTCGTATTCTCATGAGTGAAGCCACAGTAAAGATAAGCCGTTCATGCTGTCTGTGGTGACAGTTCATCTTCAGCAAAATGGCCCATGGCCACAGCGGGTCCACACTTCTGTAATAACATCCCTGTGTGCTGTGTTAATGAGAGCTGCTGCTTTCTGCTTGTTATCCCCTCCCTGTTACCCATGAGGATATCCGTGACTCTCTGTGACGTCTTCATGGTTACACAAGAACAAAAAAAGCAACAAAATCACAGCATGCAGCCAATAAGTTGGGAGGAATGTGGAGGCACAGCTGAGCCTTAGGTCAGTTCAAACCAGGGTTGGCTGCTTTTGTGCCAGGCTCGGGGAATAACTTTTGGTTTTAAGAGCTTCTCTGCAGGCTACTGTTAGCCTGAGATAGCCATGTAAAATTTCATTTGTGATTTCCATTTCATTATGACCTAATTCTTGAGTATCATTGTCAAATGTTTCTTTGATAAGAATCTTATTTCTGCCAGTGGCATGGCGTGAGCAGTTAAGCCACCACCTGCAGTGCCAGTATCCCATATGGGCTCTGGGTTGAGTCCTGGCTGCTCTATTTCTGATCCAGCTCCCTGCTAATGTACCTGGAAAAGCAGAGGAGGATCTTCTTTAAATTATTATTAAGGTTTATTTATTTGAAAGTCAGACTTACATAGAAAGAGGGGGAGGGGGAGGATTCTTCCATCCGATGGTTCACTCCCCAGGTGGCTGTAATGGCAGGGGTAGGGTGGGGTGTGTGTGTGTGCTGGGCCAGGCTGAAGCCAGGAGCCAGGAGATTCATCTGGCTCTCCCACATGGGTGCAGGGGCCCAAGCACTTGGACTATCCTCAACTGCTTTCCCAAGCACATTAGCAGGGAGTTGGGTGGAAAGTGAGGCAACTGGGACCCAAATTGGCATTCCAAAGGTGTTTAGCCAATGCTGACCAGCCAACAACACATATCTCCCGTTTTATTCCTTTCCTTTGAATGTGATACTAACTTTAAGTGTTGGGTTTTATTTAGAACTTTTAGGCAAGGAAGTATTGAAGCAACTTTGGAGTACATCCTCTTTGATCGGATGTGAGAGAGGAGATAAACTCCTCACGTCTCTCAGGATCAGCCCTTCAAGTGCACGTTGGTTCCAGCTTAAAGAACTGCAGAATCCGGGGCCGGCGCTGTGGTGGAGCGGGTAAAGCCGCCGCCTATGGTGCCGGCATTTCATGTGGTCTCCGATTCAAGTCCTGGCTGCTCCACTTCCAATCCAGCTCTCTGCTGTGGCCTGGGAAAGCAGTAGAAGATGGCCCAAGTGCTTGGGCCGCTGCACCCACGTGGGTGACCCGGAGGAAGCTCCTGGCTTCGGATCGGCTCAGCTCAGGCTGTTGTGGCCATCTGGGGAGTGAACCAGCGGATGGAAGACCTCCCTCCCGCCCCGCCTCTCCTCTCTCTAACTTTCAAATAAATAAATAAATCTTAAAAAAAAAAAAAAAAAAGAACTGCAGAATTGGAGCTGGTGTAGTGGCGCAGTGGGTTAAGCTGCTGCCTGCAGTGCTGGACCTCAGAACACCTGCTGCTCAGTTCCAGTCCTCCCTGCTAATCTGTCTGGGAAAGCAGTGGAAGATGGCCCAAGTACTTGGACCCCTGCCACCCTGGTGGGAGACCTGGGTGGAGTCCCTGTCTCCTGGCCTTGGTCTGGCCCAGTCCTGGCCCAGCTGTGACTGCTGCAGCCATCTGGGGAGTAAACTAGTGGATGAAAGATCTTTCTCTCTCTGTGCAACCCTGCCTTTCAAATAAACAAATCTGTTTTAAGAACTAGAAAATAAATTATCACTCCACTAGATGTGCCAGCATAATAATTTCAATAAAAGCATTTAAAAATGGCTGTTATGCCTTTTCTTTGGGCTTTTGCCCGTGCTGGGCCTGTGCTGCCCTGCCTCCAGGGCACGTGGCCTTTGTGCCACCTGCTCTGTGGTTCCTCGCCTACATGTTGGCTCCTGGAACTCGGTTACGAGGTGATTTAACTGTGGTAGCTCTACATCTGCTCCCCTGGAAACTCCCTTAGGATCTACAGGCCCTTAGACTAGATGGGATTAAGGAATTATAATTAATGCAATGTACCCATGTCAAATGCTTAAGGATAATTAAGCTTGTGAAGAGCTATGACTGTTTTTATCTTTCCAGGGCCTACAAAGAGACTGTAAAGCTGTATAGCCCTGCATGAATTCCTATGGACTTACTTCTAAGGGTACAGTTTAAAAACTTGCCATGGGATCCCAAATCCACTTGGGCTAGATGGTAATGGTAACATCTTAAGTTTTAAAGGGATCATATAGGTGGGATTAAATGTTAAAGTGATCATGTCAATAGGATGAAGTGTTTATTGTTAATAATAAATAGAATTAAAGAGGAGTGAATGCTCCAACATGGAAAGGAGTCCATCCAGCAGACTCAGAGTTGCAGTCACCTTCAGTAGCATTCAGTGACCTGAGTCAGCCCTAAAGGCATTCTGGTCTGGCTAAAAAGTCCATAAGAGCATTGTAGGTGTGGAAAGCCAGGACACTCGTCAAAAAGTGTCCCTACATGGAGGACCTCCCTGGGTGAAACCGCAGTGGAAAGGAGTGGTCATCAAAGAAGGATGTGCTTTTCTCCAAAGGCAGGAGAGGACTTCCACTTTGCTAATGGGCTTGTCTGAATATTGATGGAGTTTGTGGATTCAAAGGGCTTCCATAGCGTAGGCTGCTCATGTCAAGAGCCTCATTGATGTCACACATCATAAGAGTGTTAGTTGTTAAATTAGCAACGAGTCACTGTGTACTAACTTCCCATGCAGGACCTCTGTTCTCAAAGAGCTATAGTATTAGCATTAATGGTAAAACTTGATCCCAGGGCTGGCACCGTGGCTCAGTTGGTTAATCTTCCGCCTGCAGCGCCGGCATCCCATATGGGCGCTGGTTCTAGTCCTGGTTGTTCTTCCAGTCCAGCTCTCTGCTGTGGCCCAAGAAGGCAGTGGAGGATGACCCAGGTTCTTGGGCCCCTGCACCCACGTGGGAGACCAGGAGGAAGCACCTGGCTCCTGGCTTTGGATCAGTGCAGCGCCGGCCATTTCAGCCATTTGGGGAGTAAACCAATGGAAGGAAATCCTTTCTCTCTCTCTCTCTCTCTCTCTCTCTCTCTGTCTACCTAACTACCTGACTCTGTCAAATAAAAAAAAAAAAAAAAACAAAACCTTGATCCCAAAGATTTACTTTGTTCTAGCGTGTGATATTCTTATGTATCATAAGTTCTAGTTAAGTCTAAGTGTCAAACTCCATTGGCTGTATTCCTAGGTATTTCTTTAAAGGTTAAGTGCCTCAAATATGAATGCTAAGATTCATGACTCTGTGAAATTCCTATCTTGTATGTTTTAACATAAGGTCAGATATTTAAAAGGCAGCTAAGGATACTTCTGGGAATGGCAAAATTCTGTGAAATTTGGATTCCAGGATTTGGATCCCAAGCTTTTGTATATAGCTTTAAAATACCCTTGTACAGATACTATACTGAAAAGGGTAGCTACAAAAGTTGTTGCAAAGAATTAAGGAGCTTCTAACAGAGGTTCTGACATTGAAAATTGCTGATGACAAGTCTATGGAATATGGATTCCAGGATTTGGATTCTAAGTCCTGTATTTGCTTAAAAAGTCCCTGACACAGACACACTGCGCTGGACAGGGGAGCTACAGAAGGTGTTCCAAGGAATTAGGGAGCTTTTGACAAAAACTCCAACATTAGGAATTCCTGAGCAAGCCATTCATAGGAAGACCCTCTTCAGATCAGCTGCAGCTTAAATGAAAGGGACTTTAGCAGGTGCCACTGAACAGGACTACCTCAGTAAAATTAGGATTAAACGTCTACCTCTTAAGTCTTCAAAGGTGAACTCAAAAGACACACCTGATTATTCCTGTAAGCCAAAGACCTTAAGTATCTCTTCAAAAGCAAAAGGATAAGTACAGCCTTTTGCCTTCATCACATCAAGGCTGCTGCACCTCAGGCAGACATGCCGTACCTGCCCCTTGATTCACTCCTGGGAACTGTTATTGATGATAAAACTCCTAATGGCTTCTTCTATTATAATTCTCTATGCTCAGGCTAAATGGGTTTATAATCTACATAAGGGTAATCTTTTCCTTTTACGGGGCATGCTATTCGCAGTTGGTCTTGCTCCAGTTTTGCTTATGCTAATTAATAAACATGTTTCAGAACTCTGGCAATAACTGCCCATGCAGGGGACACAGACATTGGCGATGACAGGGACTGCTCCAGCTCACAGAGCAAATTCGTTAGATGAGATAGGCAGAGACTTCCAGACCCAGGCTAGGCAGGGCCTGCACTACGCCCCTCATAGGCAGGAAGCAGCTGTAGAAGACATGATGATTCAGGCCGGCGCCGCGGCTCAATAGGCTAATCCTCTGCCTAGCGGTGCCGGCACACCGGGTTCTAGTCCCAATCGGGGCGCCGGGTTCTGTCCCGGTTGCCCCTCTTCCAGGCCAGCTTTCTGCTGTGGCCCGGGAAGGCAGTGGAGGATGGCCCAAGTGCTTGGGCCCTGTACCCCATGGGAGACCAGGAGAAGCAACTGGCTCCTGCCTTCGGATCAGCACAGTGCGCCGGCCGCAGTGTGCCAGCCGTGGTGGCCATTGGAGGGTGAACCAACGGCAAAGGAAGACCTTTCTCTCTGTCTCTCACTGTCCACTCTGCCTGTCCAAAAAAAAAAAAAAAAAAAAAAAAAGACATGCTGATTCTACACCCTTCAACATCCCTTAGGATTAAGGGGATGGAGTCTCTGGTGGGGAATGAGGTAGGCTGGCATACAGGATAAAATATACCAGGTTTGTGAGCTGGAAGACTGCTCCTTCATCACACCCCTATGTGACCTCATGCCTCTACCTGGCCACACCTGGGCACCCACCAGCCAATCAGACTAATTAACCACTCCCCTTTGGAAGTGGATTAAAGGCCTGGGACACGGTGGGCCCGGCCCTTTTCTTTGGCCTTTTCCCATGTGGGCTCCTTGCTGCTCTGCGCCTCCAGGGCATGTGGCCTTCGGCCACCCACCCACCCCATGCCCCATGCTTCCTGGCTTCGGTAGGAATCTAGATTTCCCTCTCTCCTTTAGATAGGGCCCTCGCTCTCCTGTGCATTCCTCTCACTGAATAAAAAGCCCCACAGGCCTCAGTGTCCACCGGGCAAGGGAGGACCCCAGGTGCTTTGTGTCCTCTGAATCTGTCTCCATGAGCACCACTACTAACCAACCAAGTTAGCAACAGAGCCCGAGACTCTGCAGGGAAAACTTAAGAAATCTGCATTTGAACCAAAATATTTGAACCCAGGGCCCAGTGTTGTGGCGTAGAGGGTAAGGCTGCCACCTGTGATGCTGGCATCCTATATGGGCACCTGGACAAGTCCCAGCTGCTCCACTTCCAATCCAGTTCCCTGCTAATGGCTTGGGAAAGCAGCAGAAGATGGCCCAAGTCCTTGGGCCCCTGCACCTGTATGAAAGACCCAGAAGAGGCTTCTGGCTTTGGGCTGGTCCAGCTCTGGCCGTTGCGGCCATCTGGGGAGTGAAACAGCAGATAGACGATCCCTCTCTCCATCACTCTGCCTTTCAAATAAATACATTTAAAAAAATTTTTCAAGAGTCATCTACATAGAACTCAGGACAGTCTTGGATCACAGATCCTAAGATCTTCACCAGGTATCTTGGCTGCTCCTGCCGCAGTCACAGAATCCCTTGTCCTGGGTAGTTTACAAACAACAGAAATGTCTCATAGTTTTGGAGGCTGTGAAGTCCAGGGTCAAGGGACACAGATCTGGTGTCTGCAGAGGTCTGGCCCTCCAATGTTGAGGCGGAGCCTGTCCTCATGTGGCCCACGGAGAGAAGGACCAGGCGGGTTTCTTTCTTTTCTTTTCTTTTTTTTTTTTAAGATTTATTTATTTACTTGAAAGTCAGAGTTACACAGAGAGAGGAGAGGTAGAGAGAGAGAGGTCTTCCATCCACTGGTTCACTCCCCAGATGGCCACAACGGCCGGAGCTGTGCCAGGCGGGTTTCTGAGGCCTCTTGTAGAAGGGCATGACCCCCTCTCCCAGTCACAAGAATCCCAGTTCCTGGTTTTTGAGAACCTGGGGGGTGGGGAGCCGCCACGGGTGCTCGAGGATCCAAGGCAGAGTCCTTCTGCACCTGGCCCTGCACCACCCCACCCCGCTGGCCCCTGGAGAGCTGCACACTGCCTGCCAGCCCCCGTGGCGCCCACACTCAGCTGAGGCTCCAGTGCCTGTCTTGCCCGACCCCCACCCTCCCTCCATCTCCACACTCACTGCCAAGCTCACCGTGCAGCTCCGGGGCCTCCCGCTGACTCCCCTCAGGGCAGCTAGGGAAGCGGCTCCTAACTGCCCTCCTGGAAACCAAGAGGATGTGTGGACAGCCCTGTCACAAGCAGCAGAAACCCAGCTCGAGCAGAGACACTGGCACCCACGTCAGCCCAACGGAAGAGCTTCACCAAGGCATTGAATTGGGTCACCAGGGGAAGCCATCTCTCCTTCCGGCCTTCGCTTCTCGTCTGGCTCTGACGCTTCCTCCCTCGTGTAGCGAGATAGTTACTGTGGTTCCAAGTTCACTTGTTCCTTGACTGAGGTCAAGTGGAAATGAGTCTCAGCCTCGCCCCGTGGCCCCAGGAACAGCATCAGCTCTCACCAGCCTCCTCTGGGATGCAGTCTCGGCGCTGAGCGACCCCTGGCCGGGGGGGGGGGGGGGGGGGAGCGCATTATCTAATTAGCCAGGCCCTAATTCAAATATGCTCTCTCCTGGAGCTGCAAACAGTTAATACCACCTGAAACTAATGTCGAGGGGGGCAAAGAGACACCTGGGGTGCTATTAGCAGAAATGGATGCAGAATGGCCACGAGACAGCACATCTCTGCTTTCCCCGATGTTGTTCATTACAAATGCCTTGGTTTTAGTGACACCCTCCAGAGATGTGACGGTCACTGTTACATGCAAAGAGCAGGCTCACAGCTCACAGGCATCTGCACGCGACTTCTCACCTGCTAGCCTCCCTTGCCTCTGAAATGGGAGCGTGAGAAGCAGTGGGGGTGGGGTGGGGCTTCGAAGGCTGTTTTCTAGCCTAGTAATGGCAGCAGCTCTGGGTGTTTGTTAGAAATACACATTCCCAGGCCCAACCCAGATTTACTGAATTAGCACCTTGGGAGGTAGGGCCCAGCAGTCTGTGTTTTAACAAGGCCTCTGGGTAACTGATGCACACTGAGGTTTGAGAACCACTTGGTTAGGGCATGCTGCTGGTGACCTAGCAGCAGGGGCAGCACCTGGGGGTCCACACCTGCCCTCCTGGACTGGAATCTGCACTTGTAATCGGATCCCTCAGTTGATGTTTGCATTTGCTAAGCACTGGATTGGTGTCTTGAAGAGAGTAGAAGGAGGGAAATGTGCAGAGGCAACCATTTGCACACAGAGGACGGCCCCGTGGTGGGCACCCCTGTGGTCCCCATACACGTGTGATTTCCTCCGCTAGCTCTTAGCTCAGTGGAGAAACAAATCCTGCCTCCAGGTTGACCTGAGGTTGAGAAATAAAGACTCAAGAGTTGAGTGTACAACACAGTGTCTGGCCTCGGCTACACAGGGCAAGGGTGGCTATGAAGAAACATGACCGGAGTTTTCAAATAACTTGAGGCAGGTAGTGGGAGACAAATGGGGACAGCAGCATAGCAGTTGGAGATAGCTAGAGAGATTTCCAGAGAAAACCACTAGAGTTTTCTGGGTCACAGTGATGCTCCTTGTCTGTGCCCTGCAGAAGCCTCTGGGCCACTCAGGGCTGCCCAGCACTGCAGTGTGGCCAGCATAACGGGCCCTGGAAGCAGGAGAAGCGCTGCTCCCTCCCTATCACCACCGACCGCTTCCAAACTTCTCTCCAACTCTCTCACCTTTGGTAGGGAATTCCTGTGGATTCTTCCTGTATGCCTTTGGCACAGTGAGCTGATTTATGTTTCCTTATAGTCCTTCTTCTTACGTGAAGGGTAGCTTACTATAGACACAATTTGCACTTTGCTGTTTTTTTTTTTTTCTTTTAAAGATTTATTTATTTATAGACAGAGGCCTTGAGGGAGAGACAGGTCTTCTATCTTCTGGTTCACTCCCCCAAATGGCCGCAACAGCTGGAGCTGGCTGATCCAAAGCCAAGAGCTTCTTCCGGGTCTCCCACGTGGGTGCAGCGGCCCAAGCACTTGGGCCATCTTGTACTGCTTTCCCAGGCCACAGCAGAGAGCTGGGCGGGAAGGGAAGCAGCCAGGATTCAAACCTGCGCCCATAATGGGATGTCAGCGCCACAGGCCGAGGCTTAACCTACTATACCACAGCACAGGGCCCCTGCATTTTGCTTTAGAGAGTACGTTATGGAAATTACTTTATGTCAATTCATAGAGCTTGTCCCCATTGTATGCACACAGGTGTCATAGTCTCAACTCTTCTCCATGTGTAAGCATTTAGGTTGTTTCCAGCGTTTTCACAGACAGCAGACAGGCTGCAGTGGTCTGTACAGATTCAGGGCCAAGGAGCTGGGTAATCGAGGCTGTACGTCAACTGTGAAAGCCTCATGTGCCAGACTCCACACGCCATCTTCACTTGTTTAATTTGAGAGAGAGAGAGAGGGAGCAAGCTCGCATTTGCTAGTTCACTCCCCACCCCCACCCCCTTTCCCCATGCCTGCCCCAAACATCCACGGAAGCCAGGGCAGGAGCTGGGAGTTGGGAACTCAACCCAGGCCTCCCATGTGGATGGCAGGGACCCAACAACTGGAGCCGCCACCTGCTGTCTCTTTGGGCACACATTAGCCAGAAGCTGCTGTCGGCGTTTAGGCTGAAAATCGAGTTCGGGTACTTGAACATGGACATGGCCTTCTTAACTGCTAGGCTGCCGCCTGCCCCGCCTTCATGTTTGACTCCTCAGCTTTAGACTCCATGCAGTCACTGCCCCTGGTCAAGCTGCAAGATTCCCTGGACGCTCTGGTTGCCTTGTAAGAGGGAGCGGTAAACACTCAGCAGCAGCCACTCACCTGCCGTTCATTCCAGGGTAGGAATTTCCATTTCCACTGGCTCTGTCCCAAGTCAGCTTTCTTGAGGTATTTTCTTCCTCGGGTGACTCCTTCCCCTTGCTCCCAGTCCTTTCATCCCCGCAGAGACTGGGGGTAAGAGAAGGCTGTTTGGGCCGGCGCTGTGGCACAGCAGGTTAAAGCCCCAGCCTGCAGTGCCGGCATCCCATATGGGCGCCAGTTTGAGACCGGGCTGCTCCTCTTCAGATCCAGCTCTCTGCTATGGCCTGGGAAAAAGAGTAGAAGATGGCCCAAGTCCTTGGGCCCCTGCACCCATGTGGGAGACTGGAAGAAGCTCCTGGCTCTGGATCAGCAGAGCTCCAGCCATTGCCGCCATCTGGGGAGTGAAGTAGTGGATAGAAGACCTCTCTCTCTCTCTCTCTCTGCCTCTGCCTCTCTGTAACTCTGCCTTTCAAATAAATAAATAAATAAATAAATAAATCTTTTTTTTAAAGCAAGCTGGGACAAGTGTTTGGCCGAATGGTTGATAGCAGTTAGGACACCAGCATTCCACACTGGAGTGCATGGGTTCAACTCGTGGCTTCTGCTCCTGATTCCAGCTTTGTGCTAGTGCAGATGCTATAGGGCAGCGATGTCTCAAGTAGTTGAGTTCCTATCACCCAATGGGAGACCTAGATTGAGTCTGGTTCCCTGGCCAATGTGGGCATTGGAGTGGGGGGAGGGGTGACCCAGCAGATGGGTGCTCCTTTTCCTCTTAAAGCATTTTTTTTTAAAGATTTTATGTTTTAAAATGTTTATTTTCACCTACTAGAAAGGCAGAGCAGCAGACAGAGATCTTCTATCTGCTGCTCACTCCGCAAATGCCTGCAACGCCCAGAGCTGGGCCAGACCAAAGCCAGGAGCCAAGAACTCTTTCTGGGTCTCTCATGTTGGTAGCGGGGCCCCAAGCACTGGGGCCATTATCTGGTGCTTTCCCTGGGATCTTAGCAGGGAGATGGAGCAGAAGCCAGAGCAGCCGATCACTCCAATACGGAATGTGGCAAAATAGCTCACTGGGCCACAACACCCACCTCTAAAAAATTAGTTTTAATCCTACTTAAAAAAATGGTGAGGCTGAGTTGTGACATGGCAGGTGAAGCTGCCACCTGTGATGCTGGCATCCCAGATGGGAGCTGGTTCCAGTTCTGACTGTTCTATTTCCGATCCAGCTCCCTGCTAACGCACCTGGGAAAGCAGCAGAAGATGGCCCAAGTCCTTGGGCCCTTGCTACTCACGTGGGAGGCCTAGATGGAGTTCTAGGCGCCTGGCTTTGGCCTGGCCCAGCTCCAGCCATAGCAGCTTTTGGGGAGTGAACTAGTGGATGGAAGATTTCTTTCTTTTTTTCTGTCACTTTACCTTTCAAAATAAATAATTTTTGAAAAAATATTTAAAGTGCATGTTAAACATATTTTAGATAAGCAAAACTCAAAAGCAAATATTTTAAGTAAGTTGTGCCTACTTTTAAGACTAAGAACTGCAAAAATAAAAGAATCTGGAGAGTGTGAAGTTAAAGGACATTTTATTAACTGACAGATTACAAACCGTAACTCCAGGTTGTGCAAAGTGCACTGCTGAACCCAGTACAGAGAACTGGTGTTAATACACAGTATTGAAGCAATGCTACACTTAGTTTTGGCAAAGTGCTGTATTGTTCAGTCTGTATAAAATCGACCATCAATGAACCAATTAGTATTAAACATTTCTATAAAAACAGAAAAAAATTTAGACAGTGGCTCAAGAAAATAAGCTGCCATTTATGCATAGATTGATGTACAGTATATAACTTAACCAAATGTCCCTTTTTAGTTTTCAAGTTGATAAAAAAAAATCTGTGTCCAGAAACACATTGAGAAGGCACATAGTATATCTCCAATACTCTTCCGTCTCTGTAACCCTGGCCCCACCCTTGAGAAGCAAATGTGTCCACAATTTTGCTTGACCAAAAACAATAACAACAACAAAATAAACCACTTAAAAAATAACACAGTTATGGATTGAAGTTCAAAACCTCTGGAGGAAAACACATACAGAAGGCAAACAAAACCACTCATACACTCCCAGCCTAAACGCACACATCTCACCTCCCCAAGTACTGGTTTGGTTATTATAAGTCCACCTAGAAAACAAATTCTAAAACTTCAGGCAGATACAGAGAACTGAGCACTGAACATGTAACAATTTTTAAAAATGTCCTAAGGAAAATTCTCAATGATATACAAAACATTATCCACTGAAGCTGCCTTCCTCGAACGGTAACTCCTCCCACAGGAAGGGCACAGCTACTAACAACAGATCTCCTGATCTGTTTGCTTTCCTCAACCTGAGGCCACCTCCACTGGTGTCAACTTTCAAGTGATACCAGAGCGTGGCAAGGCTAACCCTACTGTATGAGTACTGTGTAGGTTTCCTAAATAAAGCATTTTACATAAAACTGTAAGCATTAAAATAAGGAGAGATGCCATTTATAATCTATCAGCAAGGCGGACGGCAGTGAAACCATCATGATAGAGGCCTAGCTTTTCAAAGTGTTTACCTGGCATCCATGGGCCTCGTAAAATAAGCAGGTAATTTTAAGGTAACATCACAAACATGTACTAGTATCTCCCAGTACTAGGAGCAGTCTTCTAGCTGATTCTAAAAGCAAAAAATAACCCTGGAAATGCCCCCAACTTTTCCTTCCAACCTATTTAAATGTACATGTGTACCCTTCCAGTTGGAGTCCTGCATTTTTTTTCCAACTCAAAGGAAATAAGGATAAGAAAGTCCCTTGTTTTTTCTTGAGAGGATCTAAAGATAATACATTTCCTCGAGAAGGATGAGAAACAGCACAGAAACTCAAGATCTCCACGAAGACGTAGATGCCAAACCAGTGTACTATACAGGTGCGAGAAGCAAAAACAAGCAATGCTGAACAGTCCTGTCAAGTTTTAAGTGAACTGTGTTCACCTTGAGTCACAGCACTGGTACAGCAAAGGAAGTGTGTAAACACAGCAGACTGCTGGGGAGCTGAAAACAGGGACAGGAAACTAACAGGGTAAAAAGCTCCCTGCAATAGGAGAAAAAATCCTATCACTTCGCATCTTCTGCAAAAAAATCCTCCACCCAGCCAAGCCTATAAATGCAGTGCCACGGAAGGCGAGCGGATGGCCGTCTTCAGCTCACCGTGCAGTAATGTGCAGTATGTAATTCAGTCAGCTGAGAAAGAAAAATAAACAGAGGACTGGCAGAAAGTGTTTCATTAACAAAAACACAAACTCTCAGAAGCACAGTGTCCTGTAAAAGCTAAGAAACTCATCCGCTAAGCACTGCTTATGTGCCCACATATTCCAGGCTTCTTCCAAATACCAGGCTCCGTTACCAGTTCAGAAAGAGCGCTATGAAATTCAGAGGGCTCTCATTGCTCACTGCGCCCATTCTTAAGGACTATGCATTAAAGCGCACTGTAAACCACTAGTATTTACAACAGCAAAAGTAATAAACCCATAATAAAGTGTATTTTGGCCATTGTTCAAGAATAGTTAACACGTCAACATCATTCTGTATTATTATTGGCCTTATGTCTTTTCAATGCAGTAGACACCTAACAAACATCTCTTGAACTCTGAGAACTTCAACTGAATGATGTAACCATTTTCTTCCATTCCTACATTTGACAGAAACCTTACACACTGACACAGAAACCACGGGAGGATATCACAGGGGGCCTGGTAATCCTAATCCTGAAAGGAAATCCCAATGTCTAAATGTTTTTTGTTTTCTAGGAATAAAGCATAGAAAAGCAGGGCCTTTAGGCCAACAAAGTCAGTGAGTAACAGATGTAAATATATTTAAGGTATCAGGAAATTTGAAAATATTGTATTAAAAAAAAAGACCACTGCATGTTTATATACAAATCTGTTCATGCTGCCAAACAAATTCTCACGGCTGAACTTCTGTAGCTGGTGAGGCACTGAGCACACATGCGCACAGAGACGCCAGGCACTCGGGTTCCCCTCAGAAGAGGTGAGTGGCCCGTTTCTAAGTCACCAACCAGCCTACAGCCCTAGAACAGCGGGTGTGAAACACACACCTTCCGTTCCAAGTCACCAGCCTATGGCCCAGAACAGCGGGTGTGAAACACACACCTTCAGGAAAACTTGACCTCATCTCCCACCTCTGGTAAACGCACGTAGTAACAAACTAACTTCTAACTCAGTTTAACAAAACTTTACAATCTTGGCCCCTAATTAGAAAACAAATAAATAAAGGGGAAGTCAACAGAGAAAGGGGCAGGGGATCCAGCCTCTTGTTCTAAAGAGGCATCCTGGCACTCGGTCATGGCCAGTGGAAGAATCTAGAACCAGCGGGTGTCCACACGTTTGGCCCGGGCCGGCTCCACAGCGGCTGGGGCCAGCTCCGGCCTGGGCGCCCCGGCTGCCTGCAGCAGGCTGCTACACAGCTGCTGAGGCACTCAGTCCTGCCCGAGGCCATGTTGCTTTTTCCTTGTAGACATTTCATAGCCCAGGACTCGGACACACAAGCTGCGGGACTGGGAAGGCGAGGCTAGGGGCCTTCCGCAGAGTGGACCAGGCACGAGTCTGGTGAGTTGCAGAGGGCACCAGCGAGGGTGTGGATGGCTCAGCAAGACCCCCACCACCCCTACAACGTGAAGAGAGTGGCTAGAGATAAGGAAGTCGACTTTTCTGTGTCAAGTCAAGTGGCCTGCGCCTGCGCGCGAGGGGACCCCTACACTCTGGCCACAGTAGCACCAACGCTGTGGGGAACAGTAGTGGCAGCGCCCCGCCGTCACTGGAGTCAGTAGAAAGGCCTTGGAAGTTCGCACAGGCTCGGTCTGCACAGCCCCATTTCACCTGTGTGAGGGCCCGCAGCGGCGCCGGGTGTGGGTGCGGGGGCCAGAGTGGTTGGAGATTTTGCTGAAGTGAGGGCTAACGTGAGCACTCACGGAAGCCAGCCTGTGGTTCCGGCCTCGGTGCTGTGAAAGCCATCCCCAGACACCTGCTGCCGCCCTCGCCTGCCGCTTGGCAGAGGGCTGGCCCTCGTGTCTGCGAAAATAAAGCCTCCTGCTTTTCTTGTGCGCATCCCCTCCCCCACAGAAATGGCGTCACAGGCGCCCGCACAGCAGAGCTCACACGAGGCGGAACTGGCAGAGCCGGCAGGAAAGAACAGAAGCAGCTTGTACGCTAGCCGAGGGGTCCGTCGGGGCCACGAGTTTTCCGCATATTCTTTGACAGGGCTTTGGTAACCCCTCTGCACGTGGGGCCTCTGCGATGCCTGTCCCACGGCACTAGTCACACAGCAAGGACTCAAAGGACTGTTCACTAAAGCCTAATGTACCTGAATTCCAAAATGAACGGCATGACCAGTCGGGAAAACAAAACGAAAACCATACACACGGAATATATCAAGTTTTCTTTCAAAACAAAGTCCAGCCACAATTCCACTATATCCATGGCAACTATCACCTGTTAATGCTCATGTTAGTGTAAAAATGTGTTCATTATATACACAAGAGATTATCAAGTACTGGTCAATAAAGTGTATGGCTGACCCTGAGAATAGATTTTTGCTTACTCAAAAGATTGATTAAGTAATACAAAATAAAATGAAACCAAAAGATGCCTATTCTTATACTTGGGAAGAAATGTCTTTAAAATGCTAACTCATGTACACCTCAATAGATTTAAAGACATCCCCAAACAACAAACACTGTATTGATATGTTTCCAAAAATATTCTGAGAAAATTTACAAAAAAGTAAATGTTAACAGCAAGGCATTATGTGGTACCCAACAAATAAATCAGGTTTTCCAGAGTGTCCAAACACACTGATGCAACGAAGTGTTCGGTCCTCACTGGCTGTGGAGACAGCGTGCCCACTGCACGGATACGCACATCCACACACACATGCACAAACTGAGAGAGACCAAGCAACGACTCTTGCAAATCTTAGTAATTGTACTGACGCGGGCAGGGCTGGTGAACAACCCAGCCACTGTGCTTGCCTTGCCGAGAGTGGCAATCCCTGGTAAGATTTTGGCGACGAAGGCTATTTCTGTTCAGAGACTGTTTTTCACTGTGCTCTTTTATCCACTGGGAAGGGCGAAAGCTCTTGGATTGTTCCAGCAAAGTTGTGTGAGCAGCGAGAGCTGCCACATAGCAGTGGGTGTGCTGCTCCACCTCCTCCTGAGCTTCCACTCTGAAACAGAACAAAGTGGCAATGCGTTAAATGGGCTGACGCGAAACCGACAACGTTAGCTAGCAATTCAGTTTGACAAGCTCATTTGCTTTAGGTTGAATGAGAGCCTGGTGTCTCACTGAGTGCCTGTTTTGCAGGCACACTGACTGATAGTGGGGAAAGGAGAGGCCAACTTTTAGTGGAAATACGCCATCTAACCCAGATGGCGAAGGAGCCTGAGTTCCAAAACTACACTGTGTACTTTGAGTGAATTTCAGTGGCAGAGACACACGTTTATATAAGCTTTCCTGGGAGGGGAACTGACATTCACTCAATATCTGCATTTGCCAACTATTTTGCAAATATTACATCTTTTAATTCTCATCAACATTTTTGAAGGGAAATATTTGAATTCCCAGTTCTTACTGCTTGGAGAGCATTATGCCGGAGCACCTTCTGATGTTTTCTGTGTGGAAGTGTAATGATGTAGGAAAGAAGCATCATATCTGTCTTTAATAGCAATATGCATAAAGAAATTCTACTCATTGAGCACTTTTCCAGGTAAGAATCTATTCCTTATAGAAGACAAGTCTCCATTTTTATTCACAGCACACCAGGGCACATTTTGGAAATGCGCTTACAGCAAGGTTATAAAGACCCTTGAATACCACATAATCTTAAAATATCACCACCAGCACTGTGGCATAGCGGGTAAAGCTGCTGTCTACAGTGCCAGTACCCATATAGGTGTGGGTTTGAGTCCCAGCTGCTCCACTTCCTACTCTGCTCTTTGCTATGGCCTGGGAAAGCAGTAGAAGATGGCCCAAGGACCCTTGCACTCATGTGGGAGACTGGGAAGAAGCTCCTGGCTCCTGGATTTGGATTGGCCCAGCTCTGGCCATTGGCGGCCATTTGGGAAGTGAACCAGCAGGTGGAAGACCTCTCTGTCTCTCTCTGCCTCTCAAATAAGTAAATCTTTTTTTTTTTTTTCTTTTAATATGGCTATGGGGCCAGCACTGTGGTGTAGTGAGCTAAGCCTCTGCCTACGGTACAGGCATCCCACCTGAGCACCGATTCAAGTCCTGGCTGCTCCTCTTCTAATCTAGCTCGCTGCTGATGGCCTGGAAAAGAAGTAGAAGATGGCCCAAGTGTTTGGGCCCCTTCACCCAGACGCAGCTCCTGGATCCTGGCTTCACACTGGCCCAGCTCCAGCCATTGAGGCTATTTGCGGAGTGAGCCAGCAGATGGAAGACCTTTCTTTCTGTCTCTCCCTTTCACTGTCTGTAGCTCTACCTCTCAGATAAATAAAAAAGAAAAAATGGCTACACCCAGTTTTCTATATAATATTGTTTTCTATATTAATGCTAATAAAACAGGATTGATATAAACCATGTTAACACATAGCACAAAGAGTTTTAAGATTCTTAAGGTTTATTTTGCAAGGAAGGGCAGTTATCTGTTCTGCCTTAACATCACTTGCGGAAAACACTGGTCTCTTTTAACATGTACATATATACATATTTCTAAAGCACAATTAAAACAGGTCACATCAAGAAGCTAAAAGAAGTTAATCTAAGGAGATTTTTTAAAGGGGGGCATTTGAGTCCTTCATCTTCCTATGCAGACAGCATCTATCACACAGTCTCACAGGGAAGATACTTACTCTGTGTCCGTGAGTCTTATTAGCAGCTTTTCCTGGCCCTACAAATGTTAAATGGTGAACTATTAAATCACTAGTAAGATTTAAAATGCTACTTTAATTTTACTATTAGGACGTGGTCAACTTTATTAGAACTGCCTTACTATGGGTCATCGAAGGCATACACAAGTATCACTTAAGATGATGATAGTTCATAAACCTTCTCAAGCAGTGTTCACAAAGGCTGAAATGCAATAAAACACATACGCCAGAGCCCATGGTAATTAGGAAGCAGCGGACTTTCATGTGCTTTATTCAGCTATCCCTGAGGACAGATGGGATGGAAGCAATTTAACTTCTGAAAGACATAGCTGTTTACTACATAGCTAGCGCTTACCTTGGGTAACACCTGATTTCTCTCTTGATTTAATGGGCCTGCCTGATAAGAATCCCAAAACAAGGATGCGAACCATTTTAGTTACTATTACAAAACTGTAATAACTGCAGGCCTTTGTGTGCAGAAAGAAAGAATCCATATAAAGTTCAGTGTATTCTTTTCATCATTTGCACATGGAAAATGATCTGTTTATCCTATATTAAATCTATATTATATGAATGCAAAAACAAACGATTGGAGGCAGTTTGGATAAACTTGATGAAATACTGTAGGCGCTATTAGGGAAACCACAGTATTGGTTTGGGGTAGCACAAAAACATTTACTGCCACAAAAAGGTGGAGATCATTGCCTAAGGAAGCAAGTAATAAAACAGTATATGCAGCATAATCCCATTTTGGTTAGAAGAGTGTGAGGGGAGGAGGAACAGGCGAGTGGTTGTGCACACACGGCATATGCAGAAAAAAAATCTGGAAGGCGATGCCCTAGGATGGTGACAGTATTCGTCTCCAGAGTCACAGGACTGTCACAATCTGACAGTTCCGCATGCTTGCATTTTCTACAATGCACAGGTACTGCTTCTGTAATACAAAGGTGTTCTGCAGAGTTGCTGACACATACACACTTTCACCATCGAAAAGTAAATATACCAATGCCAGTAAATTTACGGTGATGATTAATCATGCTTAATTTTTACGGAAATCCTCAGAGGTGAGCTTAGAAGATGGAAGAATTTTTGCGAACTGAAGAAATTAAACTGAAGAACTACAAACAATTAAATCAATACCACCTCCAAAACGTTGTATTTAAAATGTTTGTTGGAATGCCTAAAACACCTCTTGAGAAACTTAAAGGGCCAAATAAACTGCCAGTTAAAAACCTTGCTCAGTCTGTAGTCTGGCATCATGTGAGCGAACTGTTTGTCATTTCGGTACAAGCAAAGCTAAGGATGTTTGACCTCCTAAAAGATGATCTACAATGTTGACTTGCAAGTGCAGCAAACTCTGGCTAAGTTAAATTAATGGGCTGCCTGGGCATTGTTTATATTTAGCAAACAGGAAATAGAGGATATACACTATGGCCTAGTTAATGGAAGGAGGCTCCATGGATGACAGCACTAACCACTGCAATATTCTGAACTGCTCCAAAAGATCCAAATTCACCTGGACCCCTAACCTAAGAGAGGGAACGCAGTCAGTGCCAACATCGCCCAGATGCTAACACCTTGGGAATATTCCACTCTGTGTGTGATCGACTGACTAGACTTTGAGTCAAGTTATTTGGTGATGGGCTTCAGATATAGTTCCTGGATATGATTTCTGGATAAAGGCCAGGGATGTCTCTTTGTTGTGGAACATACTGTCTTGACCGGGCACCTCCCTGAACTAACCAGGGTCTACATCCACCTGCCATTCAAACAGAGCACTTCACATCACTTGGGGCCCCATATAACAAAACCTCATTCTGGTGTGCAATCTTTCCTCCATGAGGCAGAAAACAACTCTTTGAGCAAAAAGTTTTGTTAAAACTGCCATTTCAGTTTATATTTCAGATGTCTTACTTAGGTTTTCAAATGTAAGCACCATTTGATGTGACTTTAATAATACATGGAAGAAAGTAAGAGTTTATTTTAAGATACGCTATTCTGGTTGAATTTGATCCCGTAAATAATCCAGGCTATAATGTGCCAGAATCATATTGAGATACTTAGGAGAAATGTCAGGCTTTTATTTCCATTCAGTAGAGATTGTTACATATAAGATAGTTCTCTATTATATAACTGGGGTCATGCCACAACTAACTTTTTAAGAAATCTAAAATGTACAAGCTTTTTAAAAAAGAGTCATTTAAAAAAAATACCGCTGTGTACACTTGTGCATATGCTTTCATAAACTGCTTAACGAATTACTTTTCTGTCTTCTAAAAACTTAGCTTTGACTTGAAACAGAAATAAAACGCACCCTCAGCAGACTGCCCATGGAGAGTAAAGTCGTGGGAACACACCTGGGGCCTGTGGGATCGTGCAGTCCCTCGGTGCCGCAGCTGGCCTCGCTGAGCCCAGGGCAGGAGGCATGCACAGCATAGACAGACATGCTGGGATGTTCGATGAGAAGGTTTTCCATCGGACTCGTTTCCACTTTGATAGCGGTCAACCCACCTGCGGTAAAACATGGGGGCGGGGTGATAAACCAGCTCTCCTCCATTGGACAGGACTCAAACTGGAGGAAGCAGGAATCACTGGTGTCAGCCAAGCACTCAAGCGATGCAGGCAAACAGGAGAAGACAGAAGCGTGCTCAGCAGGTGACTCCTCACTGAGGTCCTCTTCCTCTTCCTCTTCTTCTTCCTCTTCCTCTGCTGAGAGGTCAGCGCAAGTGTCTAGACGGTGGTCCACAGCACAGTCCACGTCCCACGGGAAGGTGATGAGCACGTTACGCAGTCATCACGGAGCCACCCATCCCAGACACAGCACAAAAAAGAGGAGATGATATCGTTAGCTGATGCTCGCTCGCATCCCTCCCTTGATTTAGGGCAGAATTGAAACCACTTGTACTCACTCAACATGACTATAAAATAATTTCCTAGCACTGTGTGTGTGTGGGGGGGCAGTGTGTGGGAAGGAGTAGCTCAGTGTTGTTGGAATGCTCTGGTCTGCTGGCAGAACGCTGAGCCCTGTGCATTACTGCCTGTCTGGCGGGAGGGGTTCCCCTTCAAGGTCTGAATGGATCCGGCTCTAAGAGCTTCAAGACTGCAAAGTCTGGCGTCAATCAATTTCACTGACGGATCACCTGGCACCAAAATGTGTCCTGCAATTTACTTATACACAAATCCCTGTTTACTTACTTTAGAGGCTTAAAGACCTGCAGAGTTACTGGCTCACTTATGCAAAAACTGAGAGGCAGGCATTGCCACTCTCACTGTGAAGGCTAACCATGGGGGTAAACCTTACCTATGAAGTCAACGAGAATCCACTCATCATCTTCTTTCTCACTGAATTCTGGCTCTTGGTTGGAAGAAGCATTGACTTCACCCATAAACATTTTATTCAGCCTCTGTAACATTGTTAAGGCAAGATTGAGACTTTGGCTGGATGTCTTTATAGCTGCGATTTCAAAACTCCTGTCTTCAGTCAGCCTGATGGCACCACCAGGAAATTAAAGTGCGCAGGGTGCTTATTCAACTTAGGTGAGAAACAACAAGAGTCATTATCCCTAAAATGAAACAGAAAAAGGGGTTACTCCATATCAGCATACATGAACTTAATAAATACACACACACTCCCCTTACTAGTATATGCCTTAGCCTATACTCTATAGCCACTTCCTCCTATGGAGCCAAGCACAAGAAGGCAACATCCTTCCTTATGAAACATTATGAATCAAGTGTTCAAATGTAACCTGTATATATCTTTAAATATGAAATAAGAGGGGAGGAGTTGGTTCTTTTCCATACCTATGCTTTGATAATAAGGGATGAAAGTGAACAACATATTTCCAGCTACGACCCTCCTTTTCTGCAAGCAGAGGCACAAAAGCTACCTCTTGGCGTCCTCGCTGCATGACACTCAACTGTGCAGGAGTCCTCAGAGGAAGCCAGCTTTGGTGCCTAGTGACCACCATGAGACCAGGCCCTTGCCGGTGCCGTGGCTCAACAGGCTAATCCTCCACCTAGCGGCGCCAGCACACTGGGTTCTAGTCCTGGTCGGGGCACTGGATTCTGTCCTGGATGCCCCTCTTCCAGGCCAGCTCTCTGCTGTGGCCCGGGAAGGCAATGGAGGATGGCCCAAGTGCTTGGGCCCTGCACCCCATGGGAGACCAGGAGAAGCACCTGGCTCCTGCCTTCAGATCAGCACGGTGCGCCGGCCACAGCGTGCTGGCTGTGGCGGCCATTGGAGGGTGAACCAACAGCAAAGGAAGACCTTTCTCTCTGTCTCTCTCACTATCCACTCTGTCAAAAAAAAAAAAAAAAAAAAAAAAAAAAAAAAAAAAAAGAGACCAGGCCCTCATCTTTCCCTCTGTGCTGTACTTCTTGTATACGACTCTAATCATACCTACGTATGCTCCAAATCTGTAAGAACAGCATACTTCAAATTCAGAACAATTCCTAAGGCTGGCATGGAGCCGTGTACACCACAGGTGGCTGAGCGGGGCAGCAGCGGGGACTGGAAACACCACTCCTGTGTCATGGCTCAGCAGGCAGTGCTGGAGTTGGTGGGTATGGGTTCCAATCCTGCCTCTGCGGCCACGTGCTGTGCGAGTCAGGAAGCTAGAAGACTTCAGTTGGCAGAGGTCTGGCCTAGGGACTTTTGGGGGGTTCTAAATGAGGAACTCTAGCCTTGCTTGATCTTATTACAGGGTTCTAGATTGATATATCCATGTCCACCTGGCACAGCAAGCTGAACACCTATCAGAAACAGCTCTTAATCTCCTCCTGACAAACTTATCCACACACACCGATTACCCTCCACTCCCTTCTCAGGAGTTACTCTGGCCAAAAACTCAGCAGTTCCCTTGCCGCCTCTTGTTCCATCCTACCGACTCCCCTGTTCCCCATTCAAGCCCTCAGCAAGTCCTGTGGACTGTGGCTCACATCCCCTACTCCCTCATCACTCTCATCCAGTTTCAGCCAACCTGCTGTCTCTCCCAATATTTTGCCAAATCTACTTCCTAAACAGTCTCCCTGATTCTCCTCTTGTTAAATGAGATAACGTAGGCCATTTACCTAGCAAGGTACTAGGCACACATTTCTCCATCCAGGTCAACCATTAGTCTACAAATATTTACTGGGCACCTATCAGTACAGGGGAGAGAACAGTGAACAAGGCCATCCCACAGCAAGTGTGACAACCGAGTATGATGAATGTCATGAGAGAAATATAGCCAGCTGCGCAGACTCTGGCAATGCATGCCTCTAATCTTCAGTAGTTGAGAAGATGAGGGAGGGGGGACAAGAACACAGTGGTGGGGCCAGCATTGTGGCACAGTAGGTTAAACTCCCTACCGAGATGCAGGCATCCCATCTGGGCGCCTGTTTGAGTCCTGGCTGTCCCATATCTGCTCCAGCTCCCTGTTAATACACCTGGGAAAGCAGTGGGTGATGGCACAAGCATTGAAGACCTGGATGGAGTTCCAGACTCCTGGCTTTGGCCTGGACTGATAAATATTGAAGAGCACAGCAGAAACCTGCAGGTTAGTAAAATGTGGCACCTTTGGCATGGCTCAAGATCCAGACAGAGGGCTGAGAGAGCAGGCTGCGGGGCTAAGCACAAGCCAGATCTTGCAGGGTCTCATATGCCAGAGGTTAAGGGGAAGGCAAAGTCAAAAGACAACCCAGGTTTCTGGCCTGCCCAACGGAGGGAGGAGAGATCACTAGGGGAATGAGAACACTGCAGAACACACAGGTTGAGCATTTCTGACATGCTCTCTTCAGGCAATCTGCAAAGTGGCAGAGCAGGAGACACTGAGTGGACATCTGAACGTAGGGTTTTGGAGTGTAGGGAATGATCTCAGCCGGTGGTAGATCCGGGAGTTTCCAACCCAAAGCAGATGACAGAAACCATCAGAGTGGATGACATCCCCCAGGACGGGTGAAAGGCACCTCAGTAGTTGACACTTTCTTCAAATCATAAGCATTGCCTTGAGCCCAAACTTCAGGCTCCTGACACTTCACATGCAGAACAGTCATCTGCTGGGGTCTGAGAGGCCCTGGTTCAATTCCTCGTGTGTAAATTGCTACAGCTGTTTGGTGCACTGCCATGAGAGTAAACCATCTCAAATAAATGACATTAGAACACTTTCGTGCTCACAATTCACCATCCTCAGCCATTAATGATTAAAACTGAGTAAACAGGAAGTGTCACTTGCATAACCAGTCTTCCTGAAACCTTCTGGAAAGCAACATGGCCAAATCATGAAGGCTGGGGCTCTAGGATGAGGATTCAGACTCGGCTTTTTGTTCCAGGTGAGAGGAACGAGGAGAGTGGGCTGTGGAGTTGGCTTCCCTGAGCTGCAGCATTGTCAGAATCCCCAGAGATGAGCAATCACAGCTCTAACACAAATCAAAGTTTCTGAGCATACAAGCTAGGGAGGAAAAACTATTTTCAAAACCTTTTCCCTACTTCTCTGCAATTTCAGGAGCAGAGAGCAGCCCCAAGTACAATGCTATGTCTGCTGACCCATCTGGGAGAATTGTCCCAATCTCCACAGGGCAGGGCTGGACTCTCACAGCTGGAATTTTTGGTTTGGGAGGGGAGAAGCCCCTGCTCATCCTGTCTTTCTTCCCCTGTCACTGTTTGAGGGTAAGACACTGGGGCCCAGGTCAGGCACAAGGCAGAAAGCATTGCTGGAGCCCCTCTGGCTACAGCTGCAAACCCATGGAGTGCACAGTGCGTACACCTGGACAGCACACAACTGTGCAGGGCCCAGGCTCTCCCAGAGCCGCTAAGGAGCAGTGCATGAAAATGCCCTTTGGGCTTCCTGGTCAAAGCCTACCTCCAGATGTGCCATGACCATGTAGGGACAACTAGAATCAGGTTGGCAGAGTGTGGGTACAGAAGTCCAGGGATAGCACGCTCATCCTGCATTTCACTGCTGCTCTCTGCTGGCATGTACACCAAGCGCCTGCTGAGGCCTGCTGGGAAAGTGGAGCCCTTGGGAAAGAGTGGGAGGAGCGCTGGCCTGGGCACCAGAAGTTCTGGCGCTGGCTCTACCACGGGTGCCTGCAGCTAAACAGTTTGGCCCTTCTAAGCCTCAGTCTCACTATTAGAAAAATGGGGATATGAGGTTTACTCACATCCTCCCTTTCTCCACAAACTTCTAACATAATGAAGAGCCAAGGTTGGTCTCACTACGTGGGTGTCACTAAGGCACAGGAGCTGTTTGAGGACCCCACCCACCAGGTACATTAGGTGAACAAACATGTGAAATGTGACTGATGTGACTGAGAAACTAGATCTTCTTTTATCCATTTGAATTTGACGTCTGGAGGGCCAATGCTGTGGCACAGCAGGTAAAGCTGCCGCTTGTGATGCTGGCATTCCATATGGACACTGGTCCCAGCTGCTCCACTTCCAATCCAGCTCCCTACTGGACGGCCTGGGAAAAACAGTGAGGGATGGCCCCTGCCGCCCATGTGGGAGACCTAAAAGAAGCTCCTTTGGCCTGGCCTAGCCCTGGCCATTGCAGCCATCTAGGGAGTCAGCAGATGGAAGATCTGTTTCTCCCTCTCTCTCTCTGTAATTCTTTCAAATAAATAAATAAATCTTAAAAAAAAAAAACACTAAACAATAAAAAAATTTTGAAACCTAACAATGGAGTCAGTTTTGGGAAAACTTTCAAGTATGTTAGGAATAATTAGGGTATGTGAATCTACTTTGTCAACTGTAAATTTTGTGTCCAAATACAGATCAAGTATTTCTAATGACAATTTTACAGCTGAACTATGTTATAAGTGTAAAATAGATACTGGGCTGTATTTGAAAGATTCCGTATCTCAGCCTACCCAATAAAAGAATGCAAACTATCTCAGTAAAAAGTGTATATTGATTACATGTTGAGATAATTTTGGATACATTTACATATACTAATAAAATTAATTTCTCTTGTTTCTTTTTCCTTTTGAAAGTGGCTACTAGAACAGTTAAACACACATGTGGTTCCCAATCTCTTATTTCTGCTGGCCAGTGTCTTTTTTTTTTTTTTTTTTTTTTTTGACAGGCAGAGTGGACAGTGAGAGACAGAGAGAAAGGTCTTCCTTTTGCCGTTGGTTCACCCTCCAATGGCCGCCGTGGCCGATCGGAAGGCAGGAGCTAGGTGCTTCTCCTGGTCTCCTATGCAGGTGCAGGGCCCAAGCACTTGGGCCATCCTCCACTGCACTCCCGGGCCATAGCAGAGAGCTGGCCTGGAAGGGGGCAACCGGGACAGAATCCGGCACCCCAACTGGGACTAGAACCCGGTGTGCAAGCGTCGCTAGGTGGAGGATTAGCCTATTGAGCCGCGGCGCCAGCCCCAGTGTTAGTCTTGAAAAACCTCCCAGGGCTGGGGCTATGATGCAGCAGGTTAAGCTGCCACCTGCAATGCTGGTATCCCATATGGGCACCAGTTTGAGTCTCAACTGTTCCATTTCTGATCCAGCTCCATGCTAACAGCCTGGGAAAGCAACAAAGATGGCTCAACTCTTTGGGTTCCTGCATCCACATGGGAGACCCAGAAGAAATTCTTGGCTCAGGATCACCCAGGTCCGGTCTTTGAGGCCATCTAGGGAGTGAACCAGCAGATACATCTCTGCCTCTCCTGTAAACTCTGCCTTTCAAACAAAAAAAAAATAAACCTTAAAAAAAAAAAACCTCCCTAAAATCTTAATGGCCTCTCCTCCCACTAATGGCCCAGAGACTGTCCAGGCCCAGTCACTGCTGCTCTTGACCTTGGCTCCTGCCCAGTAAAGAAGGCTCTCCACGGGGTGGGCTTTCCGTGGAGCTGAAAGGCAAAGCAGAGATTCACATTCCTCTCCTCCTCACATGGTCACTGACTTTCTGATCTCCGCAACTCTGGGCCAATGTTAAAACTAAAACAGAAATTCCAGAGAGAGCCCGTGTACTGAGGACAAGTTTACAAAAACAGCTCTGCAACTGAACTAAGGGGCAGAAGCAAGCAAGGTGGGCGGGGGGCGTGGCTGGGGTTTCTGGAGGCACCTGTAAACCTTCAGTTGCAGCCAACCCCAGCCCAGCAGCTCCCAGTGGAAAAGGATACAAAGTGTCTGAGCCCAAGCATTGCAAGAAGCCAGCTTTGTGCCGGCTCCTTAAAGTACTTCCATCCTCCCTCTTAAAAAGAAATGTTTCATTATAAACCAAAACACATTATAGAACCTTTATTCTTCCACTGCCTTGTTGCAATCTCTGTTAGCCCTCTTTCTTCTAAGGTAGGTTTCTTTTTACCTAGTTGTAGTCTAGTGCATGCACAATTATGTATCTTGCTTTACTTAACACTTTATCACCAATGTTTTTGGTATTAGTACATGAGTGGGAAATGTTCAGCAGGCAGAAAAAGGTGGCCAAGTCTGATACCTATGGGTAAGAACGTTCTAGTTTGTAACTTATAAAGGGAACTATTTGGAAGATATTGTAAATGCTATTTTCTCATTTTTTAGATAAGTAACCCACCAAAAGCAGTGGGGTGTGGTACCTAAAGGTTGCTCTGGTTAACCCGCCCAGTTCAAGTCCAGCTCTGCTGCTTGTAACCCCTGTGTACTCAGGATATCTGGTAAACACGTGGGTGCCTCTAGTCTCAACCTTAACAAGAGCACCACAGCTACAACATCTGCTTTATGAGACCACCAGGAAAACTTGGTGTACATCACTTAGAATTCTGCCTGACACCTAAGAGCACTCGGGAAATTTTAACTACTAGTTCATTCCAAGCCAGTTGTGAGACTCAGAAAGTCATTTACCATCTTTGGGTCTGAGTTTCTTTACCTGCAAAATGTATGCAATAATTAAAGCTTCAATTGAGGTACTCATCCCATTTTACTGATAAGGAAACTGAGGCTTAGGAATTAAGCGCTGTGGCACAGTGGGTTAACGCCCTAGCCTGAAGCACCAGCATCCCATGTGAGTGCTGGTTGAAACCCGGCTGCTCCCCTTCTGATCCAGCTCTCCACTGTGGCCTGGCAAAGCAGTAGAGGATGGCCCAGCTCCTTGGGCCCCTGCACCTGCGTGGGAGACCCGGAAGAACCTCCTGGCTCCTGGCTTCGGATCAACAAAGTTCCAGTCGTTGTGGCCATCTGGCGAGTGAACCAGCGGACGAAAGACCTCTTTCTCTCCGTCTCTCTCGCTCTCTGTAACTCTTTAAAATAAATCAATAAATCTTAAAAAAAAAAAAAAAATAGGCACCTTGCTTGAAAGCGGCAGAGCAGGCCAGGAGTGGAGCAGGCATTGGAGCATAAATTTCCTCTGACTGCTGTCTTTCCCTGCCCAAGAGTTCTCAGGCTCCTATCAGCCTCTGCTCCAGTTCTATGAACTTTGAAGAACAGTGCTTTTCAGTTGGTTTTGCTGCCAGTAGGAGGCTCCAAAAACAATGTTATAGTAATAATTAAAAAAACCCCAACAACTCAGGCTTTAACTTCTAAATATGTGTACGGTTGGTACGGTTGTGGCAGTTTTCACACATCAAGTGTTTACACTGAAAAGCAGCCTTAGAATTCCCATCCTATTGATATCCACCCTCCCCCACTAGCACAGAAAGATGAAGATACTGATCCAAGTAATTTACCCCCATTCTGAACTGCAGAACAAGGCAAAGTCACCGCTGCTCGTTTTACGCTGCCCAGTCTGTTAAACTAGTTTGCAAGGGAGGCTGTTCCCCCAAGCCCTCCAAAGCCTGGCCTGAAGCTGAGTGAAGTGGCCCAGTAGTAATTCGTGGTCTGTTAACCTTGCATCTGAAGAGCAGGGCCATTCCAAAGAGAAATATGAAGGAATAGAAAAGAACAAAAGATAGGACGTGAAAACAAGAGACCTTGGTCACATAAATTAGTAGGGACCTGGTTCCAAGCAGGGGCCTTTGAAAAATCCTGCTGCCAGTTCAGAATTACAATGGCTGTGACCTAAAGGCCAAAAGCTTCCCAGGGTTTTTCACACCTGCAAATGAAAAATGTAGTTCAATGACCAAGCAAGTGACTTCAGGACCTTAGGGAATTCACTAGGACCCTAAGGGTCACAGTCCCACCCCCACCCCCTTTTTTCTCATAACTAGCAAAGGACGGCTAAGTCCTCGGAGCTGTAGATGCAAAGGGGCTCATCCTTAATCCACCCTACACAAGAATTAGTGAGAAGTAATCAGGGAATACAATTTAACCTGAGTCCCATCTGCAACTGTAGTTTTTAAATTTTTTAACTGGCTGTGTGGCCTTGAGTAAATTATTTCATCTCTGGGCCCCGATTTCCTTCCTATAAAACTGGACCGACTTCGTGGGGTTACTGCGAGGATCGACCGGGATCATGTAGGCAGTCTTCAGCATAATACACGGCACATAATAAGTGCTCAATAAGCGATCAGGATCAAGCAGATCTGCTTTGGCAGATCCCAAACAAAGCAAAACGCAACTCACTCCTTCCACAGGTGCAATCTCAACTAGTGTTGCGTGAGATCAAGTAGATCAAGCAACAGGCACTGGTCCCCCGGACACTCGAACCGGGCAGGGCTCGGCTAGCGGAGCGGGTCCGCGTGGCCCCAGGGCCTCCCGTGCCCCCGCGGGCGAAGGGGCGAAGAGCCCGGACGCCGCGTCCCGAGCCGGCAGCCCCATCCCACGGCCGAGTGCTGGAGGAGGAGGAGGAGAAAGAGGAGGAGGAGGGTCCTCCGCGGCCAAGAAAGCAGGCCAGGCCCGGGGGAGGAGGCAGAAACCGAACACCCAACCGCCGCCCAGCGCTGGGGCTCGGCCCGGCCCAGGTCCCCGCCGCCGCCTCCGCTCGCACCCGGGCCGCGGGGACCGCCGAGGGTCGGCTGAGGGCGTGGGCGGAGACAGCGGCAGGGAAGAAGCGACAGGCTGCGAGAGGGCACAGCCAGAGGGCAGGGCGCGAGGTCAGAGCCGTCGGGTTCCGGGACCGGGCTGCGCCGTCACGACCGCGGGCAGCGAGGGGCCCTGGACGCCCGCCCCGCCAGCACTTACGTGGGCCCGAGCCACAGCCGGGATGCGCGGGCGAACGAAGCGGCTGCCGGCTCGGCGGGGACGGGTAGGGACCGGCTCGCTCGGGCGCAGGGCTGCACGGGGCTGCTGAGGTAGCTGCGGTCCGGCCAGGCTGCACCTCGCTCGGTCCTCGGGTGGCGGGTTCGGGGCGCGGGCCGGCTCCAGCCCTCCTGTCGCTGCGCCCCAGCCGCCGCCGGCAGTTCGTGTCCTTTTGTTGTTGTGCAGCGCTCGCAACAGCTGATCGGCCGCTCCGCCCGCGTCGGGCCCGCCCGCCGGCCGCCCCGCCCCAGGGCCGCGCCAGCCCGGGCTCCAGCCAATCGGCAGCGCGGAGGCCCCGGGGCCGCCCTGCGAGAGGTTGTCACTAACGCATGTGACCTGGCGCCGAGCCGGGCGGCGTTCGCGAGTCAGAAACAAGCCCGGGCAACAAAAGCCGGGAGCCGAGGAGGCCGGAGGGGGCGGGGGCGCCCGCGGGGTGCGCTTGCGGTGCGGGGAAGAACCCAACTTCAGCGGCCCGTTGTCGAGGGGTTGGGGCCCGGGGAACACAGGAAGCTTTTCCGTGAGAGGACAGCGAAGACACAGAGTGTCAGCGGCTTCAGACTCCCGGAGCCCCAATTCCAGCTAGAGCCGTGGACTTGGTTGGAACTTGAAGGCCACTTCTAGGCCTTCCCGGGAGGGAATGGCTGGGCCGCGTCGTGGGCGATGCCGGCCCACTCAACTTCCCCTTTTCGGACAAGGACCGGGCCCCACCTGTTGTAGTAACCAGCACTGGGGGCTGAGGGAACTTGCCCGTAGGGTTCCGCCAGTGCGCAAGGCCAGCAGACCAGGCCTGGGGGCGGGGAGGTCCGCCCCCAGCAGACAGGGGAGGTGGCAGCCTGCTTCCTCCGCCGGCTCTGCATCTAAGCGCTCAGGGCCCCAGGAAGTTATCACTTGTGTGCTGGGTACCTACGGGCGAGCTGGGCCGGCTCACCGCGCCTACCCGCTCACCCGGCTGTTTACAGGGAGAGGGGGAGAAGAGCGCTCTAGAAAACACATTCCAAACCTGTCCA